CTTTCCCTAAGGTAAGTAGATATAATCCCCACTGCCTGATCACCGCAAACTTCGCCTCTGCTGTCAAAAAAAGGTCATCTTCCCATCCTCAACGATTGAGCATCTGATCGGAGCCTTATACCAGATGCTATCAACCATTCTGCACCGACGTGAAAGGATAAACACGTCCACTGCCACTAGTGTCGAACGTCAACTGCACCATGTTTACCTGTTTGTATGTCTAGCCCTGCAATTGCGGTGTACCCGGAAGGTCTGGTACAGGAACTCTATACATTATCGATACATGAGGCTTTAGATAAGAGTGGCGGCGCTGTTTCTGCTCTCCTTTGGTCGTTCACGAAATTGATGCCTGTGGTGAGCAATGTTCGTGTCTGCATCACCTCAAAATTGACCTATTTTGATTGCGTGAGCATAGTAAGTATCCATGCGCTATTTTTCCGTTTTTCACTTCTTTTCTTTACTCTTCCATCATGTCTTCTCTTTGACTTTTAATCGGCCTGAACAACCGATTATCTCTTGTTCTAACGAAGGGGTGTCGTCTCCGGACGATCACAGTTTGCCGCGTGGTAACCCCAGGCAAGTCAAGGACACTAAGACTCCTGACTCCTCCCCGAACCGAGTTGTTTCGACATGCTCAATATTTTGAGATCGAGGTTCTATGTTGAGCGTGAGACCTTGTGGTCCTGTGTGACCATGGCTACGAAGGATGAGGCTGGCTGCCTCAACTGGATTACGCTGCGAGTCGCTGAACATCACAGATATGTTTCAGTTGCCACTTCTCTTATTCTCGGCGGTGTTTACCGCCCTTTGCTTCTTCCTATGGTAAAGCGAACACTCTTTGTATTTCTCCTCGAAGTACTGTCTGGCGAAGATTCGTCTTCGTTCCTGAAGCTGCAAAGCGGAAGGGTCCTCGATCAGAGGGCACAACAGGAAAAGAGGCGCCTTGCAGTGAAACAGAACGGGCCGCTAAGCGCGAGCGGGTAAGGAAAGAGACTAAGAACCCGGCTTCTAAAAAGGAGCTTGCAAAACGGGATTCTATAGCCACCCGGACATGTCAAGTATGTTCGGTCACCTTCCGCGGTCAAAAACAGTTGAAGTATCACACCTGCAAGAAAGCGGTTGAGGAAACGGTTTCGGAAATGGGTAGCACACCCAGAGTTGCTGCGGTAGCTCTTCCGGTTGAAAGTCCCCCTCGCCTGTCAACACCACACTCTGTGTGCAGTACCCAGGTAACCGCTAGCTCTGGGAAATCGCTTTTGGGCGACAAGTTGTTAGCATTTCAAGCGTTAGTTGCTCGAAGACCTGAGTTTGGGACGATGCGTCGTTCTGAGCTCAATGAAGGTCAGAAGGTGTACAACCGTGAGACTTGCTGCTGTGGCTTCAGATTCGGGGAAGATGGACTGCCTGTGGCCATTTCCACCCAAAACCACCTGGCAGGACAGCCAGTTCTGGTGGGATCTGAGTGGTTCAATGAACCCAGAAAGCCTGGCCACTATACCATCAACAACTTGATACTGTAGATAACTGAGAATTCATTCACAGAGATGCTGACCCGCTAGTCAAACACAACGTCAGCTAAGATAACGTATTTCGGGGGCATTCTTGGTTTAATTATCGAGATGTAAGTCCCTGTCCCTTATTCACCCCGGTACGCCGAGCAGCCAACTTGATCTCTCCACGCTCCATTTTCCCGTCGTACACGGTGTCACACCCGAGTACTTGTGTCATCCACAGCACACGTCCAGGACCAACCTATCACGAACCGTACGGCAATGGACCCGCGGATTGGAAGGTTCGCGCATCTAAAACGGCCGGCGGGAACGGCGGACTGACAGAGGTCACCCCTCTGTCAGGGCATTTGCGGAACCGGAGACGCGGCGGGGGACATGGGTGTCCCCCTTTCCTAGTTAGCATTGTCCTACATAGGGTACTATACCCCAAACGGACATAAATTAGACCAAAAAAAAAAAGTATGCATGCAGTAACTTATAACATGTTTTCCCAGTGTGCAGGGTTGGGTCATGTTGTATCGCTGTAATGGCAGTTTCTGTCTCCTATTTACAAATTTCTTGCAGCTTTCGGTAGGAGTCAAAGACACCTGTGAATGATGCGTCACTGCGTCAGAAGTGGGCAATCAGACAGATAGATATTTGGAAGAAATACCCAGTTGCGAAGATGACAAGGTCGGCCACCACTTGCGAACCATCGTCGAATACCAACCCGGAAGGGGAGAAGTGGGAAATTTCATGCCCGGACTTGACGGTGATCTGGTCGCTAGTAAGCAACATGCGTGGCGTAACTCAGCAAAAGTAATAATACCTCGCCAGATGTGATAAGCTTTACACAACCCCGGTCGTTGTAAAAGCCACCTGGAATGGCAGTGAGAAAAATAGAACGATACAGAATGAACAAACTCACCTCGTCGAACGAAGAGACGGTGCAAAAAGTTGTCCTCAGGGCCGGGAAGGAGATATCCATTCCGGGACAAGTTCTCCCTGAGGTCCCTAAGGAAAAAGGGTGAGACGAAGAAATTATCCTCTAATCCTGCCAACGAACTGATCGATATGGGCATGTATTTTCATGGTGTCATACTGGGAATTTTGTAGAGCTGACAAAGGGAGAGCGACATATAGGCGGTCGGCGATCTCTGTTGGAGGAATATCCTGCCCAACATATCCTACAAGTGAAATTAATGGAGATCTCTGCAGCAAGTACACTGAGATTACCGGTAAGTAGACAGTCGATCGTCTGACGACTTGCAACGGCAGTCGGGGAACGCTGGACAATCACTGTCTGAGACCCATGATTTGCCATGTCCTGAGCAATATCGTGCGCAGAGCATCCTGCGCCAACGACGACGACTTTCTGCGCGCCGGAGTAGGAGGAGGACCTGTATTCGCTTGAATGGATAACAGAACCGAGAAAGGAGCTCTGCACGCAGAGAGTCAGCGTCAACAAAGAATTGAGTCCTGCTTGCGCACTTTTCCTGGAATCGAAGGCATAAATGGGAGTGCACCTCCCATTGTACCAACACCTGTTGCACCAATCAGGTGCCGGGCTGTCACAGTAATAGAGGCTTGCCCTGAAATAGATATAGATAATGTCCAGGTACTTGACGAAGTGTCATATGAAGTAGCAGAAATGCGCGCCAAGGTCAACACGTGAAGACCAAGAATCCTTTGATAATTTTCAAGATAGTCAGCAATGTCTCTGCAGGGAATATATTTGCATCCCTCGGGAAATGTGACGAAGGGAAGATGATCTGCTAGTACATCAGCATAGGACTAGGTTGGTAGTTCTTCGGCTGCACGTACTGTATGCCCTGGGAGTATTCGTCTCCAGTGACTCGTATCGAGAACGCCAACCATCGCCAATTGCGCCAGATCTCTCCAAGACAAGTGTAGAGATTCCGAGATTCTCCAAACGGGCGGCCACGGATAAGCCGCACTGACCTGCACCCACGATGATCGCCGTGTACCTCATTATAGTCTTCCACTCAGCAGGACGACAGAGAGGCGTATGTGCACCAAAGCGATCGACCACACCGGACAACTGATCCATCATGGTCACAAAGGACCAAACCTTACATGAGGAATCCTCGCTTTGACTAAGAGTAAAGACGCCAGTGCACTGCGCTATCACTGTATGGAATTGAATAATTCCTTGAATGAACGTTTTTGTGGGACCAATCCACCGATGACGAACACCTGGCAAGAGTCGGAAACGACTTGGCCGCGCAAGAGCAACGGGAACCGAGAAAAAGTGCTGGATTTTTGGAAGTGCACACACGGTGCGAAAATCGGGACTGAATGCTAAGAGATCCCGCCAATAGCTACCGTGTGTAAATGAGCGCTCGAGATTAAAACTGGGGCTGGATAGGTCAGAAATCAATGCAGTAAGCCACGCGGAGGAGATAGCCTCTGATATTCAACAATAAGTGGACTTGGACTAATTTTGAGAGGCAGGCTTACCTGCGGATGACGGAACAGAGAAAGTTTCCACACCAGACATATCTCCTAAATGATCAACTTGAAGGGGTGGTTATAGGGACCATTGTCTCTACCGGAAGGTTCATTTATAGGTTGATTCTGCGAAGCTCATCACCTTTCATTGTATTGCAGTTGAATATATAGATTTGCGGAGGTATGGTCTCATGCACCATAACTCCCTTAACACGTGCTTGACCTCACCACAGATAGTAGACATTTTGGGCAAGGCGTCTGTAATTTTTTTCGTAAGTTCACCGATCGATTAGGGAGTTTAAAGGGGAGAATATGATGTAGGGAGATGTTTGCAGCTGGATGTAGACTGAGATCTTGTATAGAATGAAAAAAAAACACCGACTCGGAGATATCTAGATCCTGGAACTTTCAACTGTCACTGCACTATAGCAATCCCAAAAATGTCAGCGGACAATTGTGATACGAATTGTGGCACATACTGTCGCGATCGAGCACTAGCTCATCCCACGACCTAGTAGTAACGCCACAATTTGCATACCAGGTTGGAGAACATGAGGGGCCTATTCCGTGGTGGTATAACCACCATTCTGAATCTGACACCGACTTTGATGGCTGACTATGTTCACTGGCTGGCTGCGCCGCAGTGAGAATGTCTGATGAGTCCTCTTGATTTTGCCTTCTAGTTGTCATTTTCGGTGTCGGCTGTACTAAATGGTGTACGATAGTTGTATTTCGGTGAGAAGATCGTTAAGGACATTGTAGGAGGCGCTGGATTGCAGCATGAGGATGAGGAAATGATTGTCTGCTACGGCGCCGCCCACACTCTATTCATTCGCATGATATCTTGAGCCGAGGTAGTTGCGAGATAGTTACATTTAGATCTGACGCGCGACGAGTTGCATCCCGCCACTCATGCACGTGTCGTAGTCACGATTCACCGTGTGCAACATAAATTCTTGATGACAGGAAGTCCGTAGCCTAGATGCTGTTTGATCGACGTGTACAGCGCTAGCCGCTTAGTAAGCACTTGTATGAGCTCGCAGCTTCAATGCCGCTTTCAAACACATTCCATCTGCAGGTCACCTGTAGGCCGTCAATTTCCTCATGGTATGGTATGTTTGTATTGTCACATCGTATACTAGCTGAAGGCCCAAAGTCAGCACTGTTCAACTTTCAATCTCTACTTTTGGTCATCTTGTTGATGATCTGCACTTGCACCTACGTCCGTGCAGTTGCCCCACGTCTAGTTGATAGAAACAAGGCAGGGTATGTTACTCATGTTGACTGCAAGATATCCACAAATGCTAAGAAAGTAAACAGATTCCTCGGACTTTTCTTCATGTCTGCGCGGATAGGTGCGGTTCTCATACATGCGACTTCCTGCTGGCTTCCTAAAGAACAGTACCCATTCCAACATATTTACAGGAGAACGCCTCTCGCCATATGTCGCATTAGCATGCGTGGCCATGGCGGTGACAATGATCGCACAGTAATCATACAGGATTATATTATGTGTACAGTGACGAAGTTGACCTATTCGCCGTCCGCTCCACTACCGACGTGCCATCACGGAACCGTGTTCGGAACAATACGTTTGCATTTGTGAACAGGCCCTCCTTCAGTGAAACGACTATAAATTGAGAGCCCTTGAAACGAGTTCGGAAAAGGTGGCCAATGTGTTGGGTGTGGGAGAGGTCGAGAGCGGCATCAATTTCATCAAGAATGTACATGGGCGCTGGCTTGAATTGGAGAAGGGCCATAATGAGAGAAAGTGCAATCAAGGAGCTGTGCAACACTCGTCAGTCACAATATTTCACTGATAACTGTATCGTACCGTTGGCCACCACTCAGTTCGGTTAGACTTTGTTTCCAAACAGTCCCCAGTTGTACTTTCACCTCAAGTCCTTGCACTAAATCTTGACCTTCTGGAGGCTGAAGTTTGGCGAAGTTGCCAGGTAGCAGTTCGGCAAAGATACCACCAAAATCGCTACACAAATGGGTGAGTGACGATGGAATGACTGTGAAGGAATCACCGTACCCGTTCACTTTCTCCCATGTCTTCTGGAGGGCATCACGCTTATATCGGTCCAACTCCTCTATGGTGTCTTCGATCTTTTCTTTGTCCTTCAGAACTGTGGACAACATCTTCTTGAGGTCTGATTCCTTCTTTTCGACGCTAGCCACAAGTCATTCAAATTAAACCAGTATCTTGCTGAAAAGTCGAAGACTTACGTGTCAATCATGTTCATGACCTTCGGGTTGACCTTCTTTTTCATCCCTTTCTGCTTCTCTTCAAGCTCGTCTGCTTTAGCTCGCAACGAAGGCATATCTTGGTCAAACTCATATTGTGAGCCAGGTTTGCCAAAAGACCTTCAAAAACGTCAAAGTATGTTCAAAAAAGAGCAGGGATTATTACCCACTGATATTCATCCCGAATCCACTCATGCTGCTTCTCCAAGTCGGTCACAAATTTGGCCTGCGTGACTTTATCCTTTTCGAGTGCGACAACATCGTGTTCCAGCTTTTTCAGCTCGATTTCTGCATCGGATACCCCCTTCTTCTGATCGCGAATAGCATTCTCCAGGTCTTTGAGCTCGTTATCAAATTGAGTCAGCGTTGCCCGTTCCTCCTGAAGCTTGTGCTCTGCTCTTGCGTGGTCCGCCTATTTCACATGAGAAGTATTTGTGAGGACGCTGGAATTGGAGAAAACCGTACCTCGTGCTTGGCAAGCTTAGTATTGAGCGCTGCCATGTCCTTGTGAGCTTGGCGATTTGGGCGTGAGCATCTTTGATGCTGTCCTGGGCCTCCTTGATATCCTTTTCCATTTGTTCTAGGAGTCATTAGCGAGCAGAATAGGAAATTCAAAAGGGTGCTTACCAAGCTCGAGCACAACAGTTTGATGTTCCTTGTGCTGCGTCTTTACCACAACAGCTTGTTTC